TCACCAAAGCCAGTAAGTGCACATTAAGTGTTTCCTGGGTATTGCTGCAGCCTGCTGAGTCTGTGTCCCACCCTATTCACTGGACAGGTGACTTTTCAAGGCAAGGGGATTTGTCCTTCTTAGCCCTGTATCCCTGTGGCCCAGCACTTGGGCCTGGTCTGCAGAAGGCAATGGCAAGCATTCACCGAAAGCATCAAAATAGAAATGAATGAACAAGGACTGTTGTGTAGTTGGAGTAATGGAGACAGCAGAAAACCCAAAGCCCCTATTCTGAGGCTGAGGAACTTTATTAGTGATGCTGTGGTGAATGAATGAATATGTAATCCTCGAATATGAGTCAGTAAGTGGCTTGCCACAATTCTCTGAGCCCAAATTTAAGACTAATTAAAAGATAACTGAGCAGGATTCTGGAGTTTAATTGACTCTAGACAGAACTATTGATTTCTTGCCAAAACCCATTTCTCCCCACTTCTTCCCCCACCTCTTTAAAAGGAACCATTGTTCAACCTACAACCCAAGGTAAAAACCCTGCATTCCCTCTTTGCCTCCGTGTGCCCAAGCCATCAGCAACGTCCCTGGTTCCCTCACGCTGCACATGGAACCCCCTACTCCTTCCATCCGTGGTACAGTCACTGTGGGCCAGATATTGCCCCAAGTGGGCCTCAGCTGGTCCATCACAGCATCTTCCCAGAGACCTCTGACTTCTCACATGCACTGTAAGCCACGCTTGTGCAGAAACTGAAGGAATCTTGGAAAAGCTCCCAGAGTGTGCCGGCACACGCGCACTAGATCTCAGCTCCGTGCGGTGACACTTTGAGGTCACGTAAGACCTCACCAGCCCGATTCGGGTGTCCACTGACACTGCGCCCCCCTATCCCTCAGGACCCCCAGCCACACTCTGTCTCCCAAAGTTCACATCATCCTCTCTCGAGTCCTTGTGCTTGCTGTGTCTCCTGCGCTCCACCTAGATGTCTCTTCCAGGATTGTCAGACGCCCAGCAGCTTACTGGCATCTGAGACTCAGCTCACAGGCGCCTACACTTCAGCCTAACAGGTCTCCTGGTGTTTCTTTGTTGGATGCTGTTTCCACCATTGCACTTGTTACTAGGTGATATTATCTCACCTCTTTTATGTGCCTATCACTGGTCTCCTCCGATGAGAACACCTTCACGTTTTGAAGTTATCATAATTTTTTTGTTTGTTTGTTTAAATCTTGCTTGTTTTCTGTTATTTTATCTGACTCAAAAGACCTGTCCCCCATCACTTAGCACTGCACTAGGCACACAGTAGCTACTTAGTATTTTCTGATCGAGTAAATGAACTCCTATGCACCTGCAGAGCAAACATGGTATGAAAAAGAATGTGATTGCTGTGTCAGTTACCAGTAACAGGACTATAGAATACAGGGGTGAATACAGTCAGCATGCACGGATCCCACCACACTTGGTTCTGAGGACCCCATTGCCATGAATACCAGGAATATGAACAGGAAGCCAATATATGAGTCAGATAAAAAGTAAAAGGAAACCAGGGGTATTCAGCTTGCAAAGCTGAGTAGTCCGGGGAGGGGTCTGCTGTTGTCCTTTGCCATCTAAAGCACTGTAGAGAGAAGAGAGAGTAATCCTGCAGTCCCAAGAAAAGAATACGGCTCACTTAGTTTGATGGGAACCGATTTCAGCTCCAGGGAAAACAAGCCCCTTTGAGAGAGGTGGCGGTTTCAGGCGTGGCACTCTTCCATCTGAGAGGGTGTGAATGGCTGCTTGGCAAGGACATCGTGGAAGTGACTCAGACAGACCAGGATGGCCTCCAAAACCTTGCCTTCAGGTTTCTGAGACATTTAGGGACAGGGTCAAGAAACTTTCTCTGAGATCTGGAGAGACGACTCACTGAAGAGCATCAGGTATTCTGCCAGAGGACCCAGCTTCAATTCCCAACACCCACATGGCAGCTCACAACTGTCTCTAACTCCAGATTGAGGAGGACCAATGCCCTCTTCTGGTGTGGGTACCAGACACACATGTGATGCACAGACATACAAACAGAACACCGACACACATAACTATTTAAAGTTTATAAAGTTTTTAAGATCCAAGAACTTGCTTAGTTATCCTGAAAAGCGACACCATCAAACTAAACTTTACAGACTGGTCAGGGAAAAGACCGACAGGCGGGGTCTCATGGCTCAAACACATAAGACACCCTGGTGTGCTCTCTAGTTTTAAAGTCTACCCATGATCCCTCATAACATGGGGTTCCTAGGCAACGTGACTGTGCCGAGATGCCTTGTGTTCTAGGGGATGGGCCACTCTGGTCACAGCTGGGCCATGATGGTCCAGTACTTCATCTCTGAAATTCTACCCTTTCTTAAGAGTCAAACCTCAGGCCTCAGGCAAAGAAATGAACTTCTTCAAACCTCAGCCTATTCCTCTGTAACAAAGTATTTTAACATCTGGGAGACTGTGAGTTTGAGCTCAGCTTGGGATGTATAATGGGTTCCAGGCCAGTCTGAACTACGTAGTGAGAACCTGTCTCAAGAAAACAAACAGCTGGTGGTGTTACAGGCCTTTAACTCCAGCACTCAGGAGTCAGAGGCAAGTGGATACCTGTGAGTTCAAAGCCAGCCTGGTCTATAGAGCAAGTTCTAAACCAACCAGAACTACACAGAGAGACCCTGTCATGAAAAACCAAAAAGAAAAAAAAAGAAAAGAAAAAAAATAAAAATAAAACAAATAAATGAGAATGAATTTCATTTAAAGGGAAGAGAGGAGCAACTGAGAAACCAGAATGGCAGTTTGATAGTTATAGAAATTTAGATCTATAGACTCTCACTACCTAAATTTATTTGGGAGGTTTGCAGATTTGTATAATGGATAAAAATGGGGCGTTTGAAACGGTACCTACCTCCTGCGAAGCATGCAAGGTTTGCTTTCTAGCTGTTCTCATTAGAAGGAATTTATCACCCTAACTACTAGCAGGATCATTGAATGACTCTGATTTGCCACCTCCAGCAACCCCTACCATTACCCCCATTTGGCAGACGAGGAAACCAAAGCTCAGGTCCACTGACAGTCACAGGTTCTGCAGCTGGCACAGGGCTGAACCTGGTAGCCTCTCGTTTCAAGAAGCACTCATTGCGTTCTACTAGGTAGATAGCTTACACAGTTATGGTGTGGTTTATTCACCTCAATCAATGGTTTCCCAGGTCTCTTCTCAGTCTCTGAACTCTTTCAAATAGAACCATACTCAAAACTCCAGTTAGTAAAACCAGCAAAAGCCTGGACAGCTCTGGCTGAAGCATGTGTGGGGCCCAGCGCACAGCCCACTTGACTCCAGGGTGGCCATCTGAAGGACCCTCGGGCCTTGGAGCACAACATGAAAACTCCAGATGATAGCCGATAGCAGGAACCCTCCATTCCCAACCTTGATGAATTACATAGTAAGGCAGGTTTGTTTGCATAATGCATCTTTCATTTCTTGGTTTCCCATCACATTCGACCCTCGTTATCAACTCTGAGTTGGACAAGGCAGGGCACGTCATCCTCCATTTGCAGATGAGGAAATCAAGGCCAAATGGAGTGAATCAGCCGGCCAAAGTTAGGCCAGTTCAATTTCCGGCCAACAGGGAACTGGAAGTAGTAGTCTGTCTCCATGAATTCGGGGTGAACTGGCAGAGGAAGGGCTATCTACTGGAAACTGTTGCTGACCTTTGATCCAGAAAGTGGACAATCAGCTCCTTGGCCACTGAGAGAGCTGACTACAGCCCCAAGGTTTCCCGTGCCAAGGTGCTGTCCTAAAGCAGATGGCAATGAACGGGCAGAGGAGCTCAGTGCCGCTGAACAGACTAGCCACAGAATTCTGGCTCTAGAAAGGCCACTTCCATCTGAGCCGGTCCTGCTGAGCACAGGGCAGAGGAGGCAGAAGCAGCCAGCATGCCTTCTACCTTCATCTGCATCAAGCAAAGGAGCTTGCGAAGGGATTGCAGCAAGTGCAGACCTGAGCATCTGCTGCCCTTGGCTTTCCCTCTCAGCCATAGCTTTGAGAGCCCTGAAACCTGAGGCGGCAGACAAATAAATGCCTGAACGGTTTCCCCCATCTCTGAACCGAGTCGGAGCATGTGTTGGGGGGCAGACAACACTTAATTATCACTTAGTCCTTAATTAGCACTTAATTATTAACACTTAATCCATCTGTAAAATGGGGACACTAATACCTGTTTCACAGGGATACCGGGAGGATTAATTAACGCTTGCAGTCCACTTTGAAGATGCAGCGCCTTGAAAGAGTACTCAACAGTGACATTAATCACGGCAGCGGAAGCACTCCTTTTCCTAATGAGATCCCTTCTTTCTCTCTGATCCTTCCTCTCCTTTCCAATATCCAGGCCCAACAATATCTCCTCAACTTTTCCCTAATGCAGAAACACTTAGCTCTGGGTTTCCCACACGTGGGATTTCCCATCCGGGAAGCTGGCTATTTACAGCCATCTCCCAGCACTTTAATTTTCTATTATGTCCTCTGAATATGTCAATGCCTTCCCAGTAAATATTTTGATGTGCGCTCTTGCAGTAGCTCCATGGATGCTGAATGGGACAGCTGCTCTCTGTATTAGGGGATTCCAGATGTGGTTTCCAGCCACCAGACTCATCTGTGCCGAAGCCTGAACTTTTCTTGGGAGAGCGGAAAGAGCCTCTAGTTGCCTCAGGATACAGTAATCTAAACCCTAGGCTTGGTGAGGATGCTCTTGTAATGACCCCAGAGCTTCATCTTAGTTACCCAGGCCTTTAGAATCAGAAATGTCTCCCTAACAGCTAGAAAGAAGCCTCCAGGAATGGTGTATACCCGCCCGCGTCCCTGGAACTTCAGGACCTTGGTCAGCTCCCTCCTTCGCCCTTCCCTTACTGAGGATTATGGGGATGGAGAGACAGAGCGGTCAACCCAAAGTCAGACTTCCTTCCTCTTCCCTCCATTCCTTGATAATCAACCAAACAGGGGACTACTCACTCTTCTTGGAAGCTGACGGTCGCAGTCATCGGCGCGGAGAGTTTCTCCAGTGAGGTCCTGGGCTGCAGGGATTCCGGCAAGCCCTGAACTCTCTTCCAGATGTCATGGCAAATCTTGTCTAGGCTATCCTGGGGTGTGTCCTGGTGGATCCAGACGTATCTGGGGAATGGCCCCAGGGCGGATGGACGCTTGGCCACCAGGGCCGAGGATGGAGGGAGCCCATTTCCACTAGCCATCCTCTTTCTCTCTTTCCGGAAGCCCCTTTGTCCACCCAGGGCTGGGAGACAAAGGGACTGTCCACCACCAGCCCTCATTCACCAGAAAGGGAGATGAAGACTGGGCCTGGGAAGCAGTCAGTTCTGGCCGGCTGTTGCTCCAGCCAAGGGGTGGGTTCCAGAGGCCTTTTGTTTGGGTGGGGATGAGAAGTAGGGAGCAACTTTCTTTTGGGGAGGGGGGGCTTATGTTGACTTACTTTTATTTGCTCTTTCCTGGCTTTTGCCCCCCTCCCCCTCTCCCGTAGAAGAAAATATTTAAAAGTCAACAAAAACCAGTAACTTAGTAACCGTGGAATGCCCCGGAACTCAGGAACCAAGCGCCTGGGCGGGCAGAATGACATCTGGGAACGACTGGAGGGGAGGACTGGCTCTCCCACAGAACCCTGCACTCCCCCTTGCGAGACTCCTGAGACACCTTTCAGGGCCTGAGACTCAGCCCATTTTCGACTGTAAAGCCGCCAGGAGGGCTGAGTAAGGGCTGGACTCTGTTCTAGACTGAGTGGGGACAGGCCATAAGACTGTCACCTCCCACCTTCCCAGAGATCAGGTGCACACCAAGGGCTAACGGCCCCCGCCCGCCGACAGCAGGTCCTGGCTTTAGCTCTTCTGGCCGCCCCCTTCTGCCCTTCCCTCCGCTGTGGAGGCTGCCGCTGCTCTGCCTCCCTAGAAAGAACTCTCCAATGCGGTGTTGTGCTGGCAGTCTGCCTAGCCCCAGTCCCCAGTGGACACCTGTCGCGCCTCCGTGCAGAGCTGCGACCCAGCACCGCAGAGGGTCCCAACCCTTCAAAGGGCGCCGATTGAGCAGGGCGGGCCCGGGCTGGGGTCAGCAGATTTGCGTGCCCAGTAGCTCCCACACACCCCTGCCGTCGAGGTCGAGAGCTGCTGGGATTCTTTCTGTGGGTTCAAGCGCAACGGCTCGGCGGCTGAGTGCGCGGTGGCACGGGCCGAGCGTTCGTACCCAAGGACCTCAGGTGGAGTGGGGGCGGGGTGCTGCTGGGAAGACCGCAGGAGCCTCCCTTTTGAAGCAAGTCCAAGTGAAACACTGTCTCCACCCCACCAAAGAATACAAATTTAAGAGCCTGGGAGAGTGGGTGACCTGCCTCTGTGTCCCCTGGCTTTAATCCTAACTGCAATTCCAAGGGATCACCAAGGACTGAGCTCAAATCTTACCCTATTCAAGTTCAAGAGTTTAGTACTACTTTTTATTCGGTGTACACGACGGGAGGAAACTGAGTCTCCAAGTCCTGAAAGGGTGTATCCAAAAGGGTGTTCAAGAAGGGAGTCTGGAATTCAAAAACTCCAAACTCTAGTCTCGATCTGGTGCCCTGGGCTCCCGAGCAGATCCCAGCGCTGGGAGCGGGAGGCAGGCAGAGGTGGAAAACAGACAAACAGCTCACTCACTCTTTAATAGGAATCGATAGTCCCCACCCCCACCGGAAGCTTCTCCTTACAAGCTCACACAGCACCTTGCCTGTCAAGCATTCCCTGGTCCTCCAAAGCAGTGGTTACTCCTCCAATAGACCACCCGGGAAAGAACCAGCAGGAGGTGGAAGAAAAAATAGAGGCACACAGAAGCAGTCTGGAGAAGTCAGCCGCAGTGACCTGAATCTTCCTTTTCCTCCAGTTACTCACGGACCCTCTTTCTGTACCAGGTAAGCTTCTGGGCACTGAAGAAGATGATGGAGAAAAAGTTGGTACCTCCTCTCATGGAACTGTCTTCTGACGGAGTTATTAAATCAAAAAGCCAGAAGCAGTGAGTACACACAGACCAAAGAGTTGCTGCAAAGTAATTGATGGCGAAGACTGAATTTCTGAGCTGGGTGTGGTGGCACACACCTGTAAACCCAGCACTTGGGAGGCTGAGGCAGGAGGACCTCAAGTTCCGGGCTAGCCCGAGTTACATAGTGTGCCCATCACAATTCTGGCACAGAGTAGGTACTCGATAAATACATGTTAGATAAACTAATGGTATACCGTATATAAAGTGTAGCTTTGCTCTTTACAGAGGGGCTGAGTTCCTGGAAATGTTGACTCTGAGTTTTGCAAGCCAAGCTTCATTCCTTTTTGATTTTCATTATGAAATTGAAGATCTGCTCCTTTGGGGAAAATTCCGAGGACCTAGACGGAATAAAATTATAGTTAAGAATGTAGAAAACCTTTTAAGAGTGTATTTAAAGGAAAAGTGATCACTTCTGATGAAATATTAATAGTTCTGAAAATGTCACTCGGTGTTTGTGCCGCTTGGCATTTGGTTGGCTAACACCCATGCTTAGAGCAGAGTGCCAAGACCTTGCACTGCCCAGGCCACAGGATTCCGGAAAGCCAGTCTGGCTGCCCCCACCTCTGCTTTCTCTTCCCCCGAACAGGGATCCAGGATCACTGAGGACTAAATCAGAAAGAACAGGAGAGAGAGAAAAAAGTAAAACAAGCTGGGATAGGGAGCAAAGATAGGGAGATGGGGTTCTTAGTGCACACAGGCGTCTGCGAGATGCTGAAAAATCCTTAAGTGAGGATAAAGCTGCACCTGATCTGAATGCCACCCGCCACCGTGGGATTATTGAAATTTTAATTGTATTTTAACATAAGTTTAAAAATTCAGTTCTTGGGCTGGAAAAAAAGAGGACTTGATAGATAAAGTATTTCCTTTAAGCACAAGACCATGGATTTAGGTCCCCAGTGACAATATAAAGAAGCCAGGCATCAGCACACAACTGTTACCCCAGTGCTGGGGAGGTGAAGCGGGATTCCTGGGTATCCTGGAGAGGTTATTGTTTGCTCCACACAAGTAAGAGCCATCTGAGGGGAGGGAATCCTTGGAAAAATGCCTCCATCAGATTGACCTGCATGCAAGTCTATGGGGCATTTTCTTAACTAGCCATTGAAGTGGAAGGGCCTAGCCCACTATAGGTGGTACAGCCCTAGGCTGGAAGTCCTATAGTGTATAAAAATCCAAGCTGAGCAAGCCAGGAGGAATAATCCAGTAAACAGCACTCCCCTTGTCCTCCTACCTCCAGGTTCATACCTTGAATTCCTGTCCTGACTTCCTTTAGATAGGCTAGAATATGGAACTATAAACTGAAATAAGCCCTTTCCTCCCCAAGTTGCTTTTGATTATGGTGCTTTATCACAGCAATAGAAATCTTCTTAGAGACATTGGGGTGGTGGGTTCCTACACACGTAGAAACACACAAGCATGAATGCACATGAGTGCATGTACACCCATTCCTATATAAATAAAAGAGAAAAAACGGTTCTTCACCTGCGCTAGGCACATCTCAAGTGCCCAAGAGCCATCTGGGTCTGGGATTATCATGTCGGATAGTACAGAGAACATACTACAAGACACTAGAGTGAGCCTACTTGGGTCCAAATTAAGATTTCACTAGGTTTTGAGTTGCCAAGCACCTGTCACAGGAAACGGAGGTAAGCACCATGTGCTTTAGTATATGGTTTGTGAAGGCTGTCACACTACATGCTTAAATTAGGAATTCACTTTTCAGTAGTTCTAAAGGCTAGGGGTTCAAGATATAGGACTCCAACTTTATCAGCAGAGTTGTCTTCTTCAGAAGTGTGATGATCAGACTCTAGACAATTTGACAGACTCTTTGACAGACATGGGAAGGGAGTGTTGGCGAGAATTACAGTGGCTTGAAGGCAAGACTGTGGGTGATGAGACAATGTGGTAGTTTAAATGCAATTGGTCCCATAATCTCATAGGAAGTGGCACTACTAGGAGGTGTGGCTCTGCTGGAGTGAATATGGTCTTGTCACAGGAAGCGCATCACTGTGGGGCAGGCTTTGAGGTTTTCTATGCTCAGGATATCCCCAGTGTTTCAGTCGACTTCTTGTTGCCTGCAAGATGTAGGACTCTCAGTTACTTCTCCAGCACCACATCTGCCTGAGCACCCACCATGCCCCCCAGGCATGATGTGAATGGACTGAACCTCTGGAAACTGTAAGCCACCACCTCAGCGAAGTGGTTTCCTTTATAGGAACTGCCATGGTAGCGGGGTCTCTTCATAGCAGTAGAATCCCTGACTAAGACAGATCGTCAACATATATTATGTTGAAGTGGGATGATCCATCCACCGTGGGTGGCAGCATTTCTTTTAAAGGGGATCCTGAGTTGACTAAGAGTGAAGTACATGAGTTGAGCTTCAATATATATGCACGAAGTCACTGTTATCCTCTCTTGACTATGGGTGTAATGTGACCAGCTGCTTCAAGTTTCTGCAGCCTTGGCATCCCCTCAACTATTACCCAGAACTTTGAGCAAAATACATCCGTTGCTTCTGAAGGTAGTTTATCACAGTGATTATAAATAAACTAAGACAGGCTCTCTTTTTCCTAGCTGTTGAGTATCTTCTCCCTTGTCTTCACAGGGACTGTCTCTGTGCATGACCCTATCTCAATCTCCTTTTCTTAAAACAACATGAGGGGTTGGGGATATGGCTCTATTGGTAAAGTGCTTGACACACAAGCATGAGGATTTGGCTTTGATCCTCAGCACCCAAGCAAAAAGTGAGAAACAGTGGTACTTGCATGCAATCCCAGTGTTGGGGAGGCAGAGAGAAGCAACTCTCTAGGGTTGAGTGGAATGGTGCTAGATGCTCTATTATGAAGTAATTATTTAACACATAGTAGTTGCTAGAACACCTGGCATGGATCAGGCCTATTGAAGCACTGTGCATTGGTCTGCTTTTTAATTACATCGAATCGCATACTATCAGAGTCTCTGAGCTGCAGCTTCTGGGCTAAGTGGAGCGACGGAGAATTTTAACTGTGGAAGTCATCATGTGAGCCTCTCCAGGCTCTGATTACTTTTTCGTGTGTGTGTGTGTGTGTTTGTGTGTGTGTGTGTGTGTGTGCACGCGCGTGCCTGTGTAGACACACCTCTCCTGTGTGTGAGTGCATGAGTACATGTATGTGCACATTCACGTGGAGGCCAGAGATTGACTTTGGGTGTCTACCTTGATGTCTCTCTACTTTGTTTCCTAGAGCAGGGTTCCTCCCCAACCAAGAGCTGTTCGTTGGGGCTAACCTAGCTGGTCAGCTTGCCTCGGGAAATCTCTCTCAGCCTCCCGGATACTGGTATTAAAAGGGGGTTACTATAGCCACTTGGCATTTTATGGGAATGCTGGGCAGATGAGTTCTTTCTCATGCATGTGCAGCAAGCATTTCATGTACTGTATCATCCTATTCGACCCCCCCACCCCATGTCACTGGCTGCATTTCTGAACATCAGTCATGGGCCCCCATAGTGTAAGGCACAAGGATTAGGGGAGTCCTGTACCCCAGACAGATCACTGCCTCATTAAGGAGCAAAGTGGAGTGACATTTCATTTGTATTTTAATAAATAAAGCTTGCCTGGGGATCAGAAGAGTAAAATAGCCACACTGGACGGCCTTACAGACCAGGCAGCAATGACATGCACCTTTAATCCCAGCAGCCACACTAGTTTTCCACAGAAGCCAGGCGGTAGTGGTGTATGTCTTTAATCCCAGAACTAGAAAGAATTACAAAATGGAAGAGATAGTTCTTAGTCTCAGTCTCATTCTGAGGTTTTCTGGAGGCAGGATCACCATTTTTGGACTGAGGTCAAGGTAAGAGCCAGTAGCTGGCTGCTTTGCTTTTCTGGTCTTCAGGTTGAACCCCAATATCTGTCTCTGAGTTTTTATTAATCATGCTTCATTTGGCCCTTAACTTTTGGGGTACAAATTTACAAAAGAGTCCTTTGCCCAAGGCTTTTAAGCTACCAGCTAAAGCCAGAACTGGGATT